TCTGAATCATGGTGAGGCCAGCTTCTATCTCTAAAAACCATGTATATCTCTTAGATAATTGTAGTCAGTTGAATACTGATATTTGTTTTTGTACAAAGATCAACACATCATGGCCATTTATCAAAACAAAAAAAAAAACAGGGTCAGATAAATGACATCCTGTTCTGACTCTATCTTTTGGGAACACTGTTCATTCTCTTAATGTAGGCTCTTATTTAGAATCATAATGTGCAGGAAGAACTTATTCTTTTCTGTTTGATAACAACCTATTCTTTGTTATTCTACATTAATAATACATGGGACTTTCATTCTGATGACTCCATAGATGCATACAGTCTACATTGAGCCAATTTATCCCATCTATTATATTCCTTTTATACATTGAAGTTACTTAGAATGACCAAAACTGAATATGTTTTGGTATTTGGATAATTGAACATTCAGTCTGTCTGAAGAAAAGTTATGTTCATTTTCTAAAGGTAAAGTCCTATCTTAATAGTTGAAACTACCACGGGAGATCTTGTTCTTAAACTATATCTGATTTAGGGATAGAGTTTAATTCTTCCTCTACATGCTGTCAATATAAATGAAATTTCATAAAGAAATTCTTTATCCTATGTGGTGATATATACTCAGAAGGCTGACACTGAAAGTCAAATTTGAAGCCAATCTGGGATACATAGTGAGGTCTTGTCAAAAAAACAAAAAAAAGCTTGGAAACATCTTCCTTTTTTCCTGATAGCATTGTGTGTGTGTGTGTGTGTGTGTGTGTGTGTGTGTGTGTGTGTGTGTGTGTGTAACACTGGGCTTTAACTCAAGGCCTGGGCACTGTCCCTTAGCTTTTTTTTTTTTTTTTGTCAGTTGTGGGGCTTGAACTCTGGGCCTGGGCGCTGTCTCTGAGCTCTTCTGCTCAAGGCTAGCACTCTACCACTTGAGCCACAGTGCTGTTTCCAGTTTTCTGGTGGTTAATTGGAGATAAAAGTCTCACGGACTTTCTTGCCCAGGCTGGCTTTGAACTGAGATCCTCAGATCTCAGCCTCCTGAGTGCCTAGGATTACAGGCATGAGCCACCAGCTCCTAGCTGTCCCTTAGCTTTTTTTTGTTCAAGACTAGTGCTCTACCACTGGACCCACAGCTCCACTTCTGGTTTTTGAGTAGTTAATTGGCAATAACAGTCTCACGGGAACTTTTCTGCCTGAGCTGGCTTCAAACCTCGATCCTCAGATCTCAGACTCCTGAGTAGCTAGAATTACAGGAGTGAGTCATCAGTGCCTGGCCTTCTGAAAGTTTTCTTTATGCTAGTTATTCCTACATTGTTGGATATAATCCTGTGCCTGTCTGTGTTTGTTTTTGGTTTTTGCTTCCCATCAGATCTTGCTAACACATATAATCATCATGTTGTCTTCCTGCTTCCTGCTTTAGACTTACATTTTTCCCTAAATAACTGTTTCAGGAATTCTCAATGTTACCTAATTAGTGATTACACTTTGCAAATGAAGTTTAGGAATCTCACAAAGCAAAAGGCCTGGTCTTGGTTCCAAAAAGGGGCAGGTGAGAAAGGGATGTTTCCAGGCATCCGGTTCCATCAGAAGGAAAAGTTTGCTATTGGGTCAGTAATATCACACTAGGAATGCAGCACCTTGTAACAAAAAGGAGGGAGGGAAGCAGCAGGGAGGGAGGAAGGAATGATGGAGTAAATAGAAATAACAAATTCCTAGGTAGGCCAAGGAAGGAAGGAAGGACAAAAGAAGGGAGGTGAGAGGGAGGGAGAGAAGGAGGGAAGAACGGAAAGCCAACAAATAATAGTAGCCAAGTCTATGGAGATAAATAATAGAAGACTAACATAAGGAGCCAGAACCTCAAGCACGGCATGACCTTTAATCAGGGCTTATTCCTAGCAGTCTGTGAAGCAGCTTTGTCTTTACCTGCTCAATGGATCTCACAATGCTGATGCACTGCTTTAATTTGGGAAGTCTTTCTCTTGAGAGGCATGCCTGTTCTTGCTCTAAGTCTAAAGTGCTCCCACATGTGGCATTCTCTGTGACAGATGTACTCCAGTTATGCTTTAGCTGACTCAAAACCCATAGCTTCCCAGTGCCTGAGTGGTCTATTTGATGTCCAAGTGTGTGTTTCCTTTGAGATCAGGTCTTTGCTGGAGTGTCATCCAAGAAGGTAGGAAGGTGCATTCCCTTTGTTCTAAAACAGCCCCTGTTAAATTCTGCAGCCCCAGCCCACTCAAGGCTATTTTATCAAGAGGTCTAAAACACATTTGCTGATGTACATAGACACCCCAGGAAAGGCACAGGCCAAGAAAGACTTGAGTCCTCTGGCTTCCGAACTCTCTCCTTCCCTCAGCTTGTTCCATTTTTATAGATGGTCTTGCTTCTACGGGATTCCCAGTAAGGCTAAGGAAATTTGCTCTCTCTGTCTCTGTTTCTCTCTCTCACTCACTTTGTCTTTCTTTCCTTCTGTATTTCATGTGTGTGTAAGGGCCAGGATGCTGTCCCTTAGATTTTTCACTCAAGGCTTGCTTGCTCTCTACTATGTGAGCCACAGCTCCACTTGGAGCTTTTGGGTAGTTAATTGGAGATAAGAGTCTCACAGATTCTCCTGCCCAGCCTGGCTTTGAACCTCAGTCCTCAGATCTGAGCCTCTTGAGTAGCTAGGATTACAAATGTAAGCCTCCTGTTCCCAGCTTTTTTTTTTTTTCTTTAATGATTTATTTGAGCATAAAAGAGTTAAAATAAGAAGAAATTTAAAAAGAGAGAAACATTTCCTTGCTCCCCATACAGGAAATAGGAGTTTCTTAACTCCAAGGTAAAGAATTTCAAAATGTGTTTCCTGTCTCCAAGGAGACAAGCGTCTCTGTTAAATCTCCCATCCATGGCTTGGCTTGTCAGGGTATTCTCAATGACTGTATCAAACATGTGACCAGAAGAACCCACCAGCCCCACACATGTCCATCTGTGAATATTTCGCATATTTATTCCTCACTGAGGACATTGCTCTTTTCTGACCTCTAACCTTCTCTTGATCTAGACCTATCCTTGAAGGAAGGCAGAAGCAAAGTCATGGCCCACTTCCGATGGAACATGCCTCTTGTCTTCCGCTTGGAGTCACAGCTCTTTCTTCCAGCATCAATGTCTGCCTAAAGGGGCTTTACTTCTGTCTTTCCTGCCCATCCAAGGGGAAGGAATTTGCTTCTATCTACCAGACAGTTTGCATTCTTTTGGTGTCCTGATTTGATCAGAAAGGTCTTTAGTCTTGGTGAGGAGGCGTTTCCTATCATTCTCATCCCTTGTAACAGCTCTTAAGTTAAAAGCATACAAAAGCTCACTGCTATTTAAAGATATCTTCTAAAACTAAAGGACTTTTTGGACTTGATATTAGCTTTTTAGCATTTTCATTTGTGTTGACAGTGTAATTATTCCACTGCCCAGAATCTGGAAAAAGAAAAAGAATTTGAAGTTGTTTTTGTTGCTCATTTGATTGCTTGTGTTTACTTATTGGGCTTTTATTGTCCATATATTTCTTGGCTTGCTTTTCTCTCAGATAGCTTTCTGCCTAGTATTTTGTTAATTACTCTACACTAACATTTATTTATTCAAGACAAAGCACAGACAATGTAACATTGCAGTTCTTATTCCACATAGTGCTGTGGCACAATAGTCATTGATAAATTAACTGGGATTTTTTTCCTGGAATTTTTTTTTCTTTTGAATTTTGTGAAAAGTCTTTCAAATGCAGAGAGCAATACAATCCTATAGTTTGGTAGAGAGAGGCTTATGTATCTGACATATAAATGCACATTTTGAAGATAATTGATTCCTTAAATCCCCAGGCAAAAAGAAACAATCATTGTAGTAAGTTAATACCTGAATTACTGAGCAGAATTAAGAACCTCAAACTTTTCATGCCTTCCCTCTTCCCCTAATCCCTCAGGCCTTTAGATATGTTTAGACCATGGGGTAGAGTGTCTTTATTTTTTCCTTTTTTTAGTGCAATAGTTTACGTGATTGAGATATAGTTATTTGGCAGTGGGCAGCAGATTTTCCTTTTTTATGGTAATAACATTATGTGTTGCTACTGTCATCCAAATCTCTTCTAATTTTATTTTTAAAATAAAATTTATTGTTTTTTATATAGAAAAACATAAAGAAGAAAAATATTCTCACCATCTCCTTCTTGCCATTAGTAAATAAAAGTAGTATATTTACCTGACTGAAAATTTCATTCAGTATAGACAGGAACACAATGAAAAACAATGTTCCCTTGGTTTTATTGGTTATGGAATTTCTGATTTCAATCTACCCATGTATAGCCCTAAATATGTTCCCTAAGAGGACACCATATTTAAGAATAAAGATTACTTGTCAAGAGCAAAGTAGAAAATGACAAGGGTGATGATACACAGCACAACAGTTCCTGTTTAAAACAAAACAAAAAAACCCACCCTGGTGCTAAGACAATATGGCAGAAGTAGTCCAAAATGCTATAAAGTGATATCTGTTAGAAAGTCAGAGCAGCTCTTAAGGAGTGTATTTGAATTATTCTGAGGACTGCAAAGAAAGCTTGACTCCTCTTTTTAGAGTTGGTAGGTAAGTTACCAATTGGGAATCAGCAACATACATCTCTAAGGCCATGTGTGCATGTGTAAAAGGTAAAAAAAAAAAAACAAACCAAAAAACCAAGAGATCCTGGGGTCAGCTAAAAACATAAACTTACATGATGCTTTTCCTTGAGCAATTTTAGAGCACTTTATTTTTTTTTTTTTAAGAATTCATAATCTCTTAATAGCCTTGAGTGATCTCTAAGATATCCTTGTGGTATGGAGTTTTGATGACATATGCCAGCCAGACTTAGGTATTACAATGTGCATCTGCTCAATCAATGCTAGACTCTCTCTAGCATTGAGAGACAGTGATAGCGTGATGTGTGTTGCTCTTACATCTATACAAGCTCACAATCTAGTTCATCTCTAACAAACTTTCTTTCCCCAGGACACGAAAATTACATCTTCTAGAATTGTGAAACCAGCATGGGAGTATGACTTTTATATTTATGATGGCAACATAACCCAGACAGCCCCTGATTTCCAAGCATTCAAGGAGCATTTCCGCCTCGCTTGGGGGAGTATATTTTCTGTCTTGGAACAAGTTGTGAAGTTTCTTCGGGACTATGCAATACCAGCGGTCAAAGTGAAAGGGAGGAATTTGATATGCCTCCTTCCAGAGTTTGAGCTGAAGAGTCAACTTAACAGATATGACATTCTGTCAATTTTCGAGGACCCACTCCACGTCCAAACGCTGGTAAACCTCCCAGGACAGAGGTTCAAGGGTCAGAATGGAAAGTTGGAGGCTGTCAAGAAGATCCAAGCCACGTGGAGATGCTACAAAGCCAGAAAGTTTTTTCTGCTCTTCCGCCGGCAGAAGTGGGCTTCGGGGGTGATCGCCATCGCATGGCTTTTACACTGCCATAAGACGAGGCTCAAGAAGATCCTGAAGGAATCGCGTCAGAGACACCTGGAGAATTTCCGCATTCGCGCCAAGGTGCACCAGGCTGCCAGCTGTTAAAGCAGACCGCCTTTGCTAAACATTGCCTGCTTGAACGACTGCAAGTCTCTTTATCTGTTCCTTTCTCTCTCCAGCTGCCCCCTCCCCTTAGCCTGTGATGCATTAATCCCCACATTTGTTTATACATCATATCTTAGCCCAAATCAGAAATCAAGTCATTGTGCCTGCAAAAACCTACTGCAATTTCATAGACCCAAATCCCTTCATTTTGACTTTATACTTGTGCCGGGGTAGGGGGGTGAAGGCGGGGGGGAAATCACTATTTTAACTGCATTACCTTCTCTCCCTCTATATATACCTTCTGGCACTTTTAATTTTCTAAGAAAAAAAAATCCTCTCCTGTCTACATTGCTGTCACCACTTTGTCAGAAAGTATTTAAGTTTGTAGACAGCCTTTTAATTAGTGCTCACAATTTCATTTATGTTTGCTTTCTCTCTCTCTTTTTTTCATTCATATTCTGTTAATTAAGTGAGCTGCCTCTAATCTTCCCCTGCCAGTAGCATCATGTAGCCACCTAATTAAATTAATTGGGGAAGATGTTTTAAGTATGTAATTAAATCAATTAATATAATTTATGCCTGGCTTAAGTGTACAGTGGGAAAAAAAAAACAAAGCTGAAGTTTGAGTAGATGAATCCACTACAGCTTCCTGTCACTGATCAATGCTCTTCTTGATTTTTAGCATCTGGAAGCCAACTGGAATCGCATCAGGACTTCCAGGCGGACTATTATCCATATCCCGTCATTAGGTATAACACTTTTGCCTGCAAATCTATCAGCAACCTCTATTACCCACCACATTATGGCTCCTTGATTGAGTTCAAGGAAGGCCCCTTGTTTTATTCAAATTGGTCTCGGCAGGAAAATGTTCTCGACATGATGAGAGTAATAACACAGGGCCCTCGCTTGAAACGGCGTTTAATTTGGGGATTAAGCAAATAAAGTCATTAGGGGGGGGGAGGACTGCTATTCAGTGGAGAGGTGATTTGCTGTAATTCGCTTTCATCTGTATGAAATGAACTAAAAAGTTGTCTTTTTTTTCCCCCCTGAAATAACAGATAATGTTTTCGATCTTCTTTAATGATAGAAGAACACGGGCTTGTGTGTGTTGTTGCTGTTACGCCAGTAAGCCAGGATATTGCTTGTACACTGTTTTTAATCAAATGTGCAGTCAAAATGATAAGCTACATTCTCTGAAATTATTTAGTTCTAATTACGAGCAGATGGGATGCTTTATTTGCACCTAGGGCGCCTGAGCAAAAGGAAATGCTGTGTGAACAAGAATAATTAAGAAGTTGAATAGTGTTTTTTGCGCTTAAATAATCTGCAGTTTCATGTTAATTAGCACTAATGTAATTATTTAATTACATTTATGAATTGGGGGAACTTAAAAGCTGTTGTCTGAAACACAGTGGTAAAATAGGTATGCCAAAATGACAGAGGGAAATTCCGAAATTCACATTGGAAGTGCTTTGAAAACATGAACTGCCATCAAAATGTTTGGTTTGTTTCTTTGCTTTTCCTCACCACTACCTGGTATGTTAAATTTCCTGGATGAAGCTAAATTTTCTATGCTTACTCAGTAGAGTTTTTGAGAAACAACAAAACCCACTAAATCTCTTTACTACATATCAGCTCTTTGTTAAAGCCTTTTAAATATAGCAGTGCAAAGCTGGGCGCTATGGCTTATGCCTGTAATCTTAGCTACCCAGGAGGCTGAGAAGTGAGGATCACAGTTTGAAGCCAGCTTGGTCAGGAAAGTTCATGAGGTTCCGATTAACTTGCAAAAAGCTAGAAGTAGGGATATGGCTCAAGTGCCAATCTTGAGCAGAAAAAACTAAGGGACAGTGGCCTGACCTTGAGTTTAGGCCCCAGGACTGGCACACATGCTAAAATATATATAGCAGGGCATCAAATAATGTAGTGTTATAGAATTCTAGATAATAATTTTTTTGCGCTCATGTGAATGTTCCTGTTTGTCTTCTCATGTGAAATATAGAAACAAATACAATTAAATAGTACTATGAAAAGAAAAACACCAAAGTTATATGATATGTGACATAATTATATAAATATGAAGATTACTTTTAATTAGTAAAATATTAATTGTGTCAAAGTAAAACAAACTTACATTGGTTCTGGAGCATGTGCTTAAAAGAGCTAAGTACTTGTAGAAAGGTTAAGAAAAATCTATGAGTTGTAAAGATCTTTTAGAGTTGGTTCTGCTTCATGGCTTTTGAAAGGAATTTGTTTTTTCTTAGGATGTGAGTGAGGATGTGAGACTGATCTGAATTTTGTTTTAACTTACACTATTGTTTCGATAAGACCACTTTTGCACACAGAATTGGTTCACACACAGGAATTGTGCTTGTAATTGATTGCAACCCAAGAGAGGCTAATTGCAGACCCAATTAACTGACTTGGGTCCTTCAAATAAGGTGTAAGAGAGCCTTTGCTTCTGCAACTAATTGTGGATCTGACCTGATACTAAGTGATGGGTTTTGGTTTGGGTTCCCTGCTTTACTCAAAAGTACAAACATGAATAGGGCCTCTGATTTACAGTGCTGATAAACACTAAGGTGGTATAAGTAATGAGTACGAACTTCTTCCCTCCTCCTCTCCACTTCTGACCCTTCCAAATAGCCTCCAACAACCAGTTTTGCAGGGAAGCCCGATAAAAAGGCGTTTCCAAAGAAGTAAAAATCAAAAGCCTGGTAATGTAAAATAGGTAATAGAAATACTTTTAATTAAAATGTCCTGAAATTTTTAAAAGGGCTTGTTGACTAGATATTAGGTGCCCGAAAAATCTGATCAAAGAAATTAGAATTAGCATTACTCTACACATCATATTAAAACAAGCCCTCTTGTAGATTATACATACTCAGTTTAAATAAGAATATAATAAATATGAAGGTCTTTATTGCGATTTTTTTTTGGGGGGGGGTCTGGTCATGGGGCCTGAAATCTGGGCCTGGGCATTGTCCCTCAGCTCTTCAGCTCAAGGCTAGCGCTCTACCACTTGAGCCACAGCGCCACTTCCCAGCTTTTTTTCTTTTTGCTTATGTGGTGCTGAGGAATCGAACCCAGGGTCTCATGCATACAAGGCAAGTGCTTTACCACTGAGCCACCTTCCCAGCCCTGCGATACTTTTGTTTGTAAATAACACAATAGTATTTCAAAGGACAACTGCTAATTATATATATATATATATATTGGTCATGTGGCTTGAACTCTAGGCCTAAGTGCTGTCCCTGAGCTCTTCAGCTTAAGGCTAGTACTCTACCACTTGAGCCATAGCACCACTTCCAGCTTTTTCTGTTTATGTGGTCATGAGGAATTGAACTCAGGGCCTCATGCATGCGAGGCAAGCACTTTACCACTGAGCCACCTTCCCAGCCCCTAATTATATATTTTAAGAGTTAAAGACAGCTCTGGTTTTTTCCCAATGAGGCATTTAAAGAATCTAATTGTGAGAGGCAATGCCTCTGTGTCTCTGATCTTATAAAATACCATTTATTGATATGAATTCCAGGAAATGGAAACAAGAGGGTTTTTTTCCCCCTTTTTTTCTTGTTTGTTTATTTGTCTTTAAGGGTCATGGAGGGACAAGGGTGAACAAATGCAGCAGTGGTACTCACTAGACACTGTGTTAAAAATGAATTTGTGAGCGGGAACTAGCGGGAAAAACTGGGAGAGACTGAAGGAAGGGATGACATTGTCCAAAAAGAAATGTACTCAGTACCTAACTTATGAAATGGTAACCCCTCTGTACATCACCTTTCTAATAAAAATTAAAAAAATATTTTTTTTTAAATTTTATTTTATTTTATTTGTGAACATACTGTACAGAGGGGTTACAATTACATGGGCAGGATAATGCGTACATTTCTTACCAAGCATTGCAGCCTCCTCCTTTGTTTACCCTTCACCTCCCTTCCCAGCCTCCCCCCTCTAAAAAAATATTTTTAAAAAAATCTGTATTTTCACCAGAGAATAAAGCATAGGCTTTGATAGTATGGAATTGATTTCTACATCTGTCTTGTGGACATTAAAATCAGCTTAAATAATATTAAGCAAATCATCTCATACCTATTCCCAGGCAGAATTTTTTAAACTCTTAAATTACACCTTTTTTTTAGTTGTATGGGAGTATACTTCTCTTATTTATCATTTCTAGGAATATGCAAAGATGGAACCAATCCAACATGGCATCTTTGTCTCATGGACCAAGAGCTTAATACATAATATGTAAAAATAGAAGTGGATGAAACAGCAGTAATTAATTTCTCTAATTACGCTGCAAAAAAACCTCCAGTAAAAACCAATCTTTCCAATGAAATAATTTAGTTTTCAGAATACAGGCAGAGTCACTGGTCAAAGCAGATAATAGACTGACAGGTTCAGGTAGGCACCTCAGGCAAATTGCAGCCTTGCCTTCTTTTTCTCTTTCCATAAAAATTTTTTTCCTGTAGAATCATCCAGAGGTATAGTGTGCCACCAGCCAACTGGGGCTGTACTAGTACTTGAACCTTGCAAGATAAGTACCAATACCTGAAAAATAAATTATACATGTAGGCATTTGTTTTTTACTACACAGGTTATTTGCACATTCAGGCACAATTACATATTTTACTACCACGATCCCAGAAAGAATGGCCTATAAGGAACATTTTTTTACTACAAAATATTTTTGTATGTATGCTGGTACTGAGGCTTTAACTCAAGGCCTGAAGCTGATACTCTGTCCCTTGAGCCACAGCTCCATTTCTGGCTTTTGGGGGGTTAAGAGAAGAATAGAGACTCACAGACTTTTCTGCCCAGACTGGCTTCAAACCTTGACCCTCAGATGTCAACCTCCTGAGTAGCTAATATTACTTGCTTGAGCCACCAGTATCCAGCACTATAAAACCTTTACAATGAATATTTAATTCTAGAGTAAGAAAATATGAACATTAAAACAATTATATATTGCAGAGTAACCTCTGTAAAAGGGAGAGTTATTCATCTGGTTGATGGTTCTATATTTCAGGTAGTCTTCATAGCTATTTTTAACCACAGAGAGGTGGAATACTGTTGACTAATTGTCCAAAGAAACCAGCCTTGTAATTGTATAAAATGATAAAAAAAAAATCATTTCCAGAATATATAGGCCCTCTTAATTGGATATTGCATATTTTATCATTTTTATTAATGAAATACAATTATAACAAAACAATTTACCATGGTTCATAGCAGGAATAAAATACCAGGGTCTATTTTAAGTAAAATATATCAATCAAATAAGAAAAAATGCTAACAAAGGATCCTAATTGCTCTAGAAAATAACCAGAGAATCTAAATAAAACCTGTGAACTAAATCTGCTTCCAGTTCCTTTGGCCAGATTATTTCCTATTCTTCATTTAATCCTTGGGCTGCTTTATTAGAGCACATCATTTGTGTTCATCTTAAACTCAGTGACATTGTAAAATATGTTGATATTAAATGAGATGTGCCAATTACTAGATTCTGAGGCCAAACGTGGGTATTGCCAGCCATTTAAAGTCCTAGTCATGTGTTTCCCCTCTCCCTTCTCCCTCTTTCAAAATAAATAGGAGGGGCTGGGAAGGTGGCTTAATGATAGAATGCTTGCCTTGCATGCATGAGGCCCTGGGTTCGATTCCTTACACTATATAAGCAGAAAAAAGCCAGAAGTGGTGCTATGGCTCAAGTAGTAGAGTGCTAGCCTTGAGCTGAAGAGCTGATGGACAG